TTTTCAATATCCGGTCTTGTAGGATTTATTATCATTGTAGTGGGATTAGCCTCAAAATTTGGTTTGTGGTCTTTTAAGGTTATGTAGCATTCTTTTTGATATAGTTGACCTACTCTATCACTGATCTTTAGTTTATCAGTGATTTCCTTACTGCTAGTATTGATATTCCGAACTATGTTGAGGTCATTTTTATTCGCTTTCTTGTAGTTCTTATTCAAGTCCTTATTTATTAGGTCGTTGTATTGCTTTATGGTTGTTTTATAAAAGTTTCCAGTTTTGTCGGATTTTACTAAAGTTTTATCTCTAGCGTTAATGTCCTTTACTATCTTATCTAGGCATTTCTGGAAGTAGCATTTCTTATCATGGAAATTTATGTTGTTAATTATTTCCAGTAGGTCCTTTTCGAAAGCGGTTCATTGAAAAATACATCCCTACTCCCTACCAAAACGTAGCTAATAACTGATACATCAAAATACAGACATAATGAACACGCAGACACCCCTTGTCTAGTGAAAGTCGATTTTTCTGTAACCATGGAAACATGAATTATGATTTTAGCTGTGTCTTTAAAACCCAGTAATTTTAAAAGTTACTCCAAAATTTGCTTGGGGATGAAATGGAACTAATGTCTTTAATTTAATTACAAAATTAAATTCGGGACTTTTAGCTTCCATTTTTGAAACATGGTTAGAACTGTGTAGAAAAAAAAAACATATTTTAAATCAATTAATTTATAATATTAATGCTCTGTAAATTTACTATTTTGTAAAAATAAAAATATCTGTAAGAACACCGGATTATATATCTTACTGTTCTTTCTTTTATATATATATATATATATATATATATATATATATATATATAAAACAGCGAATTGATCAACAAACTCTTCAAGATGGTAGGATTGTCCCTGACTGCAAAATATGTAAGCTGATATGCTACAAGCTATAATTTCTTATTTCTTTACTGTTCACTCTTTCAAATGAAGGTGATCATTAGCTTCCATTTACTCTTTGTTCTAAATGGAAATATATCAAATATTTTCAATCAATTACCAAAGTCATTTGTGCTATAATAAGCAACAGAGATGATTACACATTCAGTGATTATAAATTTGATTCCTTTTCTTTGTTCTTTCTTTCAATTTTCCAATTGAGGAAGTTCTTCCATTTTTCAATTTGTACAAGCAATATGAATGGCGTACATTTTGATTTACAAAGTCATATCTTAATTTGATAAAATATTTTCTAACAAACAGAATCTTAAATAATAATATTGGTTTGTTTTATGGAATATCAAATTTTCCAGGTTATTTAATGCTGACATCCGTCATAAAATAGAAAAGTAAACAAAGATTCAGTTTGCACAAGATTCAAAAAAGTAGGAATAGGTTTGGTTTGCATGATAAACAAAAAGACAGACACAGGATTGGTAGTCAAAAAGGTAGACATAGGTTTGGTTTAAATTAGAGTCAAGTACAGTAAACAGATATCCTCTATTTTTGGGTAGGAGGTGTTTTACTTCTCTCTGCATGGGAATGAAGTTGGTGTATTCTTGATACTGAGAGACAGGGTAGAAGTAATATGATAATAAAGAACTTGACCACATTCATGTAAAATAAACCTCACTTCTGCAAAACCAAATAATTCATTCTGCCATTTTGGTTCTGATCTGCCCCAAAATTTTTAAATTTAAAAAAAAAAAAAAAAGATAAACACAAGAAATATGTATTTTTGTTTCTTCGATTCAACTCTCTCCAATTAAAAGCCGATTATTACAGCAACAACCAAAAGAATGCATCTGCCAAGTTTGATTAAGTAGTTTCAGAATTAATCAATCAAGATGCACAGACAGACACATGCCATTTTTAGGCACCGAGATGTTTTAGCTTTTAACCTTGAAAAGAAATAATATCATGTTTTCTGTTTCCCCTGAAATGAAAGTGAGCAAATATTTCTCATTCAAACTAATGCGGAGGTGTAGTCATCTTGAATTGCAAATTAAGATAAAATCTACATTCAATACAAGAACAAAGGATTTTTTGCAATCACAAGTAATTAATGGATTACAGAAAGAGACAGCATGCACCAAGTGAAGATAAAATCTTAATTCAAACTATATATTGCTACATAAATTATTCTTTACAAGTAAACACTAATTAAAATCAGAGACAGTCATGTCGGGGGAGAAACTCTAAAATACTGCTTCTCAAACTGTCTGAAGTGGTGTACCAACTGTTTTTTTTTTTTCAATGTGTGAGGGACAGGCGAGTAACAATTTCCAATCCAGCTAGGGGTTTGGGTGGGTTTGGTGCTGTCCCCACCAGTCGAAAAGAAATTTTTTTGAGATATGCAGCTAAATTATGAATCTAATTAATTAAACACAAAATTAAAAAATTGGGGCCAAAATCAACATGACTATTTTTTCCAGTCAGGCAAATTTTTTAAAGGCCAAATCTTACTTATTATAAAACGCTGATTGTGTGTGTGTGTGTGTGTGTATCTGTACGTTTATATATTGGATCGGATTTCCTACATTTTTCAACCGATTTCAACAAAACTTCACAGGACTATGTAAAATTACCTTACGGTGGTTCTGACGGCGCCAAAAATTGGAAAAAACACAATTATCTCTGCACGAAATCAATTTGAAAACACGATAAAACACGATTCTGTCGCGAAATTAAAGGTGGACAATTCATATCGAGTTATACTAATTATAAAACCCAGGTTGTGTGTGTGTGTGTGTGTTCATTTATATAGGGGATTGGATTTTCTACATTTTTCAACCAATTTCAACAAAACATTTTTTTGGCAGGTAGTGTTTCTTATTGTCTTGCACACGTTTTCTTTATTTTTACATTCAGAATGCTTTAAAAATTCCATTTACAAGACAATTGTTTTTAATAAAATTCTATTCAATCGGTAGACTCATAACGATTGAAAATAATGCTTTTGTTTGAGTTTGGGTTTGACCAATTCGTTACAAAAAAACTAAAAACCAAAACAAAAAAAAAAACTAATTAAGACATGTGTGTCCGTCAACCTTAAACAATAATCTTTGTCAATTTTATTTTTCAGTCTTTATGATGGTCGATACTTGATCTATCTCTTACTGTTACATCCCCGGGCAACGCCGGGATCTACTGCTAGTTAGAAATATATGTCCATGTAACTGGGCTTTTAATATTCCTAGGTGTGGTAGTCACATGTCACATCATCATGATAGTGTTGTCATACATATTTCAGTTCACTGTTTTACTGTTCATTATATTGCATTTGTTAGTTGTATAGCACTGACTTTTAAAATGAATTGAAAAATGTAACCTTAATAAATCTAAAACTAAAATAAAAACGTTTAAAAAAAACAAAAAACAATCAGATATCCCAGTATTCTCCCATGGCATAGAATGTGACTACTGTTTCTTTATTTCCTGGAAACTCTCTGTGTATTGGCAGACAGTGGCTTGTGTACCAGTGCCAGTACATATATCCCACTTTGAGTAGCACTGTTCTAAAACATACAGTATCTTACATCAAGGCTTTGATATAGTCATGGTATCTAAGAAAAAAATAAACTATAGTTATATACAATTTTTTGGCGTAGGATTTAAGAGATCAGATAAAAAATAAATTAGCTTTCGCCTTCCCCTATTCTCTGACGTGAGATAATTCTTCCCAAGTGAAATGATTTCTGGGTGGCTTCACTCATGTGATTATATGTTTACATCTGTGATCAAATTTTCATGAGAAAGATACTGACAGTAAACATGATGTCATATTTTAGCGATGGACTAAGCATCAAAAGATCTTTCTATCATATACCTGGCTATACATCAAAGTATTCTTAAAATGAAAAATGCCCAAAGACATTTGCTGCGATAACTGAACATCAAAGAATCCATATCATCCAATATAACTATTTCTGAAATTTGAGGCACACCCACATCTTGGTACATGTCATTGATATGGTGAGGTATATAAAAAAAATGTTTGACGTAGAACAATTTTTATTCTTACGTAGTGATTAATTCAGATAGTTTAAAACAAAAATAGATTCATTTTTTTCAGTTACACATTTATTATCAATCAAATATTGAAGATCAGGTGAAACATTGCAAAGTATTGAGGTAAGCCAAATTTAGTAGGATAATATTCAAGTGACTCAGTGTGCCATGACGCCATTATCAGAAGAGAAGAAACAAGTAATTTGCTTTGAAGGCAATCAAATAAAAGGAAAGAAAGAAAGATTTTGTGCAGCAGGATTTTGGTAAGATGGCAAAAACAAAGACAAAAGGTAAGGTGTTCGATTTAAAACTCCAAAATTGCACCAGATGATTGTGTTAGCGGATACATAAAGGGTGCTGAAAAGTTCTTGGCTTGAACAAGAAGTGCTTAAAAGAAATCAATTTGGTCAGATCTGGGAAAGTTGGTTGGGCCAAGAACTTTTCGGTTCATCCTTGTAATTGTTGCTTAAGTGTATGCTGTTTATGCAATTTTCTTTTTTCTTATAAGCAACTTAGGAATTTTAACAGTACTCAAGTTTCTAAAAAAAATTTATTCTGGGATCTAATAAATAGAAAAAAACAGATTTCAATGTAACTAAACTCGTAGAATTGGTAGAATTTTTGGATACAGTAAAAAAAAAAAAAATCATACTTAGTAATTTGTTTTCTTTAATTTTACATATCTTATTCTTAAGTTGCTTAAGTCACAATGATATCAATAGTGGAGTCATTTAAGATTTAGGCAAATTTGATTGATTAGTTTTCTACAGCTTATCAGTGCCAGAAAATATATTTTAGACATTTTTTTCAAGATAATAATGATTTAGTGATACAAGTATTACTAATTAACCCATAGCTGGGGGAGAAGTGGAGTCATACCTTTCCGAAGGTTATTTATGCATAAGTGAATATAATGAACCCAATGGAAATATGAACTCAGCTCACCAATTAATAATTCCAAGCCATTATCTATTCAACAACCTGCAGATCTAAGCTTGCAGCACCTGGTATTCCCAAATGGTTACTCATCTAGGTACTGACCAGGCTCAACATTGCTTAATTTTGGTGATTGTATGAGAACCAGTGTTTCAATGTGAAGTGGCTTAAAGCTTTAGGCAAATTTGAGTACAGTAAATGGGTTGTTTATATATATATATATATATATATATATATATATATATATATATATATATAAATATATAAAATCATGTACCTGGTTGGTGTGATTCCAATCACTTGCAAAGAGACTCAGATACTCTGGCTCAGTACACAAAAACAAGTACATGTCCACTAGCATGGACAATGGAATGAGAACAATCTACTCCCATGAGTTGAATAAAGAGCTTGATTAAGAGATTTCCAAAATATTACCAAAGATGATAATCTCCTGAAGATGGTTAGAGAGAACAATAGCTGAAACATAGCAATAATAACACCCAAGATGGGGAGGGCACTAGTTGAAATAAACTAGTGCATAATAATAATTTTTAATCTTGAAAATTCAGATACTGTGATTTTCTCTCTGATGTCCAATCGTTCCAGTCGCTTATGAAAGGGTATACATCAGTGGTGCAGAGGGGTTGATATGGAGTCTGACCTGGAGTCCAGAAATCTTTCCCATTTTGCCGTTAAATAGTGAAGGGGTGTGATCTGGTTTCTTAACACTTTGTATTCCAGTTTTAATTAACTGCTAAGTTAAATGTGAATCAGAAAAATTAAGTTTATACACATAATTAATGTTATTTCAACTGGGTCCATATTTTTTTTTAATCAGGTTTCATAATTGCCATCAGGTTTTTCTCACTTCCAAAGAGGGAAAACCTGCTGGTATACTATTTCAATGATATAACATCATAGTTTGGGATTAAGGGCAATGCCATATTTTACCACAGCTTGGCATATAGGTTAGTGATGTGTCTCTGGGACATTAACTGACTGTACTCCTGCACTAGACTTTAGATGAGAAGAGAGGATTCTTGGTTTTGAATTCAGAATTGTCCTTCTCCTAGACTGGTTGATAAACAAGGCTACAGAACTCACTCTGCACTGCCATTTTATCCATAGTATTTTTTATTCACTTTTATCATAAAAAGAATTGTATTGCGTTTTCACATTATTTTGACAACAGGATGCAATCCATATGGCAAAAAAATTTAGTTTGGTTGATTTCATTACTTGTCAACCTTTGCTGGGTTATTTCATGCCAATTTTTTTTATGGGGGGCACTCAGTGTGAATCAAATTAACTACTCATTAGTAATGGTCTGCCAGACTAACCTTGCAAAGAAATCAATTAAAGTGTCATGATTGTTTCTTCTGGATGCAATCTGCAAAAGTCACAGAGAATAGTGGGCCAGTTTTCTGGCAGTGATAGATGAGTCTCAAGAAATTCTTGATAGATGAAAAATAAAACAGAAAAAAAAAAAGAAATAATAAATGAAGGCATGAAAATGTCTCTCACCAACAGCGATGGTTTTCATGTCCAACAGATACGCAATTTTCTTGTTATTTTCTTGTCCTTTTACTTTTCTCTCATTTAAACGGGCACTGGAAGAAAAAAAAACAATGAAACTAACTTTGTGAAGATCAATTACAAAAAATTAAGGACATTAAAAAAAAAAAATTTCAACGCCTGCTGCTAACCTGACCAGATGAGGGTTCATGAATTCTGTCCGTACACAACCAATTATCTCATTGACCCCATACTCAATCAAAGTGAGTTCACCAGCATTGAAGATCATGCAAACCTAAAAGAAAAACATTTGAATGAAGTATGGAAAAGAAGAAGAACAACAAGATAGACAGAGACATAAGTAATTCTCATATGATAGCCATTGCAACTGATATTCTATTTGAAGAAATAAATATATTTTCAAAAGCGAAAATTGCTTTTTTTATTATTAAAGTGAACCATAAAAAAATTTTACAGGTTTATATAAAGTCGGCGAAATACACTATGGCATTAATTACATTTAAATCAAATTTTATTACCAAACCAGCCTTGTAAAGGATACTTCAAGGAATAAAATACATAGCAAGTTAAATTTTTTATAAAATTTTGTTTTATGTGATGAAGAATATAAAAAATATATAATATTTATTATATTCTTCATCACACAAAACAAAATTTTATAAAAAATTTTAACTTACTCTGCATTTTATTCCTTGAAGTATTCTTTACAGGGCTGGCTGGAATAATAAAATTTGATTTAAATGTAATTCATTTTTTTTTTTATATATATATATATATATATTTATTCTTTTAAACAAGTTTTATTAAACAATACCAACAAGGTTTGTCTGTCCAATTTTTTACAATTTCCAAATGAGTTGCTTTATATCAGAATGAAAATTGGTAAACTTTCCAAAGTTCATTTTTTAATGTTTGCAGTTGATGTTATTAACGGTTGATTTTTTTAGTCTATGATTGTTTCCACACACAAGCATGTACATATACAGAATAAGAATTAGCAATTTATACAAGAGATGGGTAAACCCATATTGTATTCATTTCTATGCTAAGCGAGTAGATTATATAAAAATTTCAGTTCTGAGAAATACCCAGATCAGCAAGCACTTGATAACGGCAAGAGCACAATGGCTGAAATATTGTGATAATAACAAGGATGAGGAAAATAATCTGAAAGTAAATAATGTAAATTATTTTATATATATATATATATATATATATATATATATATATATATATAAACTTGGGTAAATTTACAGATAACATAAAACAGCTAATTCGTAAATCTTATAAATTCAATATAAAATTTGACAGATGGAATTTGTCGACATTATTTAACCAAACATGTCTGAAAGAATTACTGCTACTGAAATACACACACACACACACATATATATATATATATATATATATATATATATAAAAATTATGAAATGGACTAAGTCTGACAATTATTTTCATATATTTTATTGTCATACATTGTTTATATAGACACAAATATTTAAGTAAATGCTCTGTTTATAATAACAGTATTAATAACATTTTACCAGCTCGAATGTCCAAGAAATTTCATAGAAAATGAACGTTCTCTGACAAAAATCAAACATGCATCCTACACGAAACTGTCATATACCCTGATGTGCTATACCAGTTTAACTATGAAGATTGTGTCTGGTTAACAAGGTTGAATTACTGCTTTTAAACTATAAACTTCCCATGATTTCCCTCAAACATTAATATCTACTCAAAGCATATCTTAACATAAACAAATGATGTCATCTATTATGAAATGTACTAAGTCTGACAATTACTTTAATATATTTTATTGTTATACATTATTTATATAGACACAAATATTTAAGTAAATGCTCTGTTTATAATAAACAGTATTAACAACATTTACCAGCTTGAATATCCAAGAAATCTCATAGATACTATTCTAATACTGTTTATTATAAACAGAGCATTTACTTAAATATTTGTGTCTATATAAATAATGTATAACAATAAAAAAAAAAATATATATATATATATATATATATATATATATATATATATATATATATATATATATATATATGGTGAAGTAGTGTATATCGGCTCAGATTGAGGAATTGGAGAGCCAAGTTCAAATTCCAGTCGAATCCATTACATTCACATTTATGTGTTAATACCCTTGGGAAAGGTATTAATCCTCTTCTTCTCCACCCCCAACTACAGGTAAATAGCAGGACACACAGGATTCTATAACCTGGGATGTCAACTGGTCTAGGGGAAGGACAACTCTGAATTCAAAACCTGTAGAGGGTCGTTTGGTGATTTTGTGGCATGTAGTGCACCTGGTCTCTGTATTCAGCTCTTCAAAAAGTGTGGTTGGTTCTGCACAAAGCCTTCACCACTATAATCAAATCATATGTGCTAGTGTCTGGGCTGTCAGTTCCTAGGAACTGAGCTGTTTGACCCTCATATGTGGAATACGATGGGAGAGTCCACCATTTATATATAAGAGTCAATGTCTGATCCTTACCCCCTCCTCCTCAATATTAAGTATCGTAATAAAAATAAATTTTTAAACTCCTTTCCTCTCTAATTTTGACCATGTCTCTCACACTATCCCTCAACATTCTCTATGTCACCTTATATAAACTTAATACTGCCCTTCAAAAGTGTAACTTTTAAATTCATTTTTTCACCCTCAAAAGTGAAGTCTGAAGATCCAGAGAAAAATAATAAATCTCTGTTGAAATAAATTATTACAATGGAACCTTGAAGTGTCCTGATTTTTTCTTTAAATTAAATTATATATATTTATATATATAATAAATTTTTATTAATCTGACAGATTTGTATCACCTTAAACATTATTTTTAGTGGATAATCATATTTGAATAGGTGCTCCATTTATTTATTAAACAATATATTTATTTTCATCTACCAGCCTGAATATTTAAGAAATCTTATTAAAGAAAAATTAGCACCCTTCGGCAGGAGTTGAACCTGCATCTCTCAGAGCAGTGGGAGCCACCGTTTAGCCAGGCACACCTTACCACTTGGTCATAAAGTATTCCTAACAAAGGGCACAAATTTTTCTTTAATAAGATTTCTCAAATAGGCCAGTAGCTGAAAATAAATAAATATACTTTTTAATAAAAAAAAAAAAAAAACAGATTGCCTACTCAAATGCAAGTATCTACTAAAAATAACATTCAAAATAGTACATATATTTGTGTCAAAGTTTCCAGTCTTTATCTAAATGGTAATGTTTGAGTAAAATTAACCTAAGCAATACAAAACTGCATTTTGTCGAATAATAAAACCTACATGAGTGATTATAAAATTACAAAAATACACAGGCATAAAAGAAAATAAGAGCTACTTACATTTTCATTATCAAAATAAAACTTCTCATTTCCTCCTGATAACTGCCATGGAATCTGAAAAACAAATCAATTATTGTTTCCTTTACGGATTTGGAAAATCCAGCACACAGAGTGTGTCTGGAGAAAAAATATATAATCTTAGTAAATATTTTTTCCAATATCTTTTGCTACAAAGATTATGAAGAGGAAGGTAATCAGAGCAAAACACGAAAACAATTGTAACAATGTCTACAGAATTGCATAT